AAAAAGATGTCCATATATCACTACTGCCAATTCTTTCATCCTCGTTCTTAATTATGTTGAAATCCCCACCTAATCACCATGACATATCTCTTTCTTTAATGATGTTTAAGAGATTAGTCCACAATTCACCCTGTTGATTCTCATCATTTGGAGCATAAATATTTCTGAAACTACATTTTTTGTTAATACTCTTGATAGTACCAGGAACGATAACATAGTATTCCCCTACCTTATAATCATTAAGCTAAAAAAAGTCCTCTTACCATATACTGATGATACCTCTAAGATTTCCTCAAGTTCCATTGCCAATCCTTGAACCCTTTCCCTTCTCTAAAGAGATTCAAGACAATTCCTTCTAACTGTGCTTAGTTTCGTTTCTTAAAGAAACATCATATTTGGCTATGAGTCCTTTAATAGCCTTTTTTCTTTTCAATCCCCCTCAAACCACAGATATTCCATGAAATCAAAATTATAGTAATAAAATCACACAAAGCGCTAGGACTTACCAAGGACTAATTTATGAAATGTCCTCCTCTTCCACTTCAATGATGGCTTCTCTAACTTTTTGTGGAGGTTCTCTAAATTGGATGCCTAAGTTTCTGCTCATCTGAATGACCTTGTCTTCTTCCTATCGCAATACTTTGTTCCTGCTTTCGATGCCATTGTCTGAAATGGAATTATCTCTTAAGAAATCCTCTTTTTCTTTATCTTTTCTAATTACTTCTTCAACATCTTGTTGATTTTCTTTTTCCTTCTTGTCACAGTCTCTAATTTGCTCACACTTGATTTGTTTGTTTTCCTATTTGCTGCCAATAATCTTTTCCATTTTGTTTTTTTCATTTTGCCTGTTGCGTGCGAATTGCAATTTTCATCACCACATATTGACTTCCTTACTTTCCTAGTTGACCATCTCCCTTCCTTGTCCTTGCGTGTCTGGGATTTAATGGTCGGACTTTTGTTTTTATTTTTTAGCCTACTTAATACCAGAGGACTTTTCATGAGACTATTGGTGGCCACTTTTTACTTTTCACTGCACCCAAACCTTTCGTTTCTTTCCTCATTAGCTATTTGCTTGTTCATTTCCATGGAGATGGCATCTTTACTCCTAGTTGCCTTCTTAATTTTTCTTTACCTTTTTTTTTTCTTTTTTCCAATAAAATCGACCTTTCACCCTTTTCATCTAAAGCCATCATGTCCCAAGTGTCTAAGGCAATGAGTCCATAGGAGGCTTTCATTTGTCTTTGCAACCCAAGATCCCAATCCATCACTATTTCTAGGCTTATTCTCACTGGATTTGGAGTTCTTTTCTGGTTTTTGTTGCTATTTTATTTATGGCTTCTATAGGTGTTGGAGTAGGATTTAGTGGATTGATGTGATTGTGTAAAATATAGATTTCAAAAAAATTTCTGTTATAAATGAAGCAAGCAATCTAATTACACAAGCGGAAATACATATCATTTTTATTGCAAGTAACATAATTACATCTTTAAAAAAATAATAATCTATTAAGTCAAAAAGCATGCCTTTTATTTTGAGATTTTTATTTTCGAACACCGCCATACCAATGAATGATTTCTCAACCAAACAAGTTTACCACTTATTCTTCAAGAACGCTTTCAACTTGAACTTTGAGTGGACAATATGTGGAATGCTAGACTACAGGATGACAACCGATTTTATCTTTCTTTTTTTCTTAAAAATTAATGACTATTTTCTTTCATAAAATTCAGTTAAAAATGGGAGAAAGGAAGAAAGAAACAACAAACATATTTGTTTGTTTTCAAGAAACTTTTTATTTGTTTCTTTTTCAAGAAAAAATATATTTGTTTCTTTTCTTCTAATCTCTTCTCTTTTTATTAAAACTCTTGTCTCAAAGGTTTAATCAATATCAAATACTTTTGAATCGATCTTGACCATCCATTTAGAGTTATGGAAGCATCAAACATGCT